TTTCTTTTTGGACCTTCTGCAACTACCACTCCACTGAAGCAGCCTCCTAACTGCATTTCTTATTTCCAGGGTCTCTTCCAATTTATCCACCCATAGGTTAATTTTTCTATAGCAACACTTTGATAATATCACTTGTTGCTAAAATTGCATCGTTGATAGCTGTCTCAACCTGGCATTGGAGGATTCCCCACAGTAGAATTTCAGTGATATGAAGAGGCAAACTAGTGCAGTGGAAAGAATTTGTATACTCTTGAGGCTCATTTTTTTGGTTTTAAAAAAAAAAATGGAGATTAAAAAGGCATACCTCCTAGGGCATTTTTCAAGTCAGCTCTTTAAAAGTTGGAAAGGTGTTGTAATTAGGTTGCAACATCAACTCACAGATACTTGTAATGGACAATATTCAATTACAGACCTGTCTGGCTCAGCACCTTAAGTGAGGTTGTCATGATTGTGGTTTTTACACAGGCAGGTTGGGATTAGCTTGCTTCATGTTTGGGGGCTAAATGGCAATCTATTCACCATTTTTAGCCTTGTTTCTAATTTCAAACTGTAGACTTACAAAAGATCTTTTGGAAATACTTTGTTTGCAAATAGAGAGCTTTCAGTGTTATTAATTTTCAGAGTTGAATTTCCCTGATTGGCTGCTTTCCATGACAACGTTGTTATTGAAATGTATTTTCCTGTAGAATTTCAATTTTGTGAGAAGCTGCTATGGATTCCTTGTGGGGAAATAGTATATAGTTATGGTGGACAGATGAAAATGATCAGTTCTTATTTTTAAGGCTTGCCCAACATCCAGTAAGTGTGGTGAAGCTCTAGCACACAGAAACTTTATTGGTTCTGCAGTTTCAGTAAGTTTAAGCCTCACATCATATCACAAATTCTGGAAAAACACAGCTCCGTAGCCCAGACTGGGTCTCTTCTCTGTACCAGTCATGCATGGCACCATCAGAGCTACTAAAATCAAACTGAGTGAGCCCCCATAGTCATTCACTCACTCCTGCATCCACAGAGCAAATCCCCAGAAATGAAGCCTGTTTGGTGATTTCCAGAGGATAGATTTCAGTCTCACAAGCTCTTGTCAAGAATTTACACTCAGCACTGCTAATTGCTTGATTCCTTTCTGAGGTCAGCAAGTGTGGAAAGCCTTGGGAGAAAGATAACAATCTTGCCAAGATTGGTAAAACAGTTATTTTAAATCAATGTTGTAGGTGAGTGTGTGAATTAATATGCACTGCAACATATTGTTGTTGTTTTTTTGGTTTTGCACCTTTAATGGTATTTAAAAATTAACAGATGTTTATGATGTTAAAATAATATAAAAGAGAAATCCCCTGCATCTCTTCTTACCTTTTCCTTCCCCTACTCAATTTCATTTCCCAGAGGGAACTACTTAAAAAAAATACAAAAAACTTTAGAGTATATCCTCTCACACTTTTTGTTTGTTTGTTTCTCTTGCAGTAATTTTAAATTATTCCTAGGCATTCTTTTTTTTTTTAAAAAAATATTTTTATTGTGTTTTTTTTTTTTTATAGAGAAGAAGGGAGAGGGATAGAGAGTTAGAAACGTCGATGAGAGAGAAACATCGATCAGCTGCCTCCTGCACACTTCCTACTGGGGATGTGCCCACAACCAAGGTACATGCCCTTGACCGGAATTGAACCTGGGACCCTTCAGTCCGCAGGCCGACGCTCTATCCACTGAGCCAAACCTGTTAGGGCCTAAGCATTCTTTATGGTTAGGAGAAGCTAGAACAACATTGCCATTTAGCCTCTTACAGATGTTGGAACTTTTTCATACACTGCTTATGTTAAACATAGAATAAAAGCAAAGAACCCTTTTTTTTTACTTTTGTAAAAACAAAAGCAACAGAAACAGGCAGATTTATTATGACGTTCATGAAACATGCTCCGTGAGTGTATTCCAAGGCTCTAGGAAAGTTTGTCTTTCCACTATAATCTCACTTACACATAAGTTATTGCTGGCAGTCTTCATTTAGCAATAGGTTCCAGGAATAATTTGATGACCCCTGACATCTTGTCATGGAGGTAAGGACTAGAGGTTATAATGTGATATGAATATATGGCTGCCACTGGAAGTATGTGGGTAGTGTGGTAGAAACAAGGATTGAAACATGAGCCAGAAGCTAGTCTAGGGAAAATTATTGTAATAATCATATATATATGATTATTACAATAATTTTCCCTAGACTATATATATATATATTTATATATATATATATATATATAATTGTAAGTGGAAATTTTTGTTCTCATTGATGTCAAACCACAATGGAAACTCTCTCCTGTCAGGAATATAATTAATAATGCAGTGTGTATAGTTTAAAATTCACCCTATATTTTATGTCTTTTCTTTTTTTTTTTTAAATGTGAATTTCCTGAAGTTGAATTAATCAGAATTCCTACAGCAATACTACAAACAACCTGTACTCTATGTGAGAAGTGATTTTTTTTATGCATCCCAGCTATCAGCAATAAAAACAATTTGATCAATCACGCCAGAAACTGAAAACTAAAATATCTTTTTATCCTATTAAAAAGTTATTTTAAAAACACTGTCACATTCATAGCACTTTAAAAAACAAACAGGTTTTGGGTACAGCAAAGGATAGGCCCCAGCAAAGGATATCTATTAAGAGAAAAAAATTATATTAAGAAGTAATCAAAGAGAATGCAAATTCCTATTCTTTTACTTGACAGAATGTTGTATGTAGAAACAGAAGAGCAATTGTCAGAATCAAGGCCTTCTTAAATATTAAATGGTTAGATTTAGAAACTTAGAGGAATGAAAATATATATATAGGGGAAACTTTGGGTAAATAATTTAATTTTGAAGGAGGAAACTTTAGAAACCATTTTGTCTGTAATTTGAATTTATCTTGGCTGCCTTATGGCCAGTCTCCACATAATATGGTTTTCAGAAGACACACAGGTCTGATATCCAAAAAAGAAATGAAAAGTAATTTAGATTTTTAAGGAAGATTTTTAAAGAGGCACCAAAAGGGAAATGTATACTGCAAGACAGTAACAAAATGTTTTTTTTAAAATATATTTTATTGATTTTTTTTTTCTACAGAGTGGAAGGAAGAGGGATAGAAACATCGATGTGAGAGAAACATCGATCATCTGCCTCCTGCATACCCCACACTGGTGATGTGTCTGCAACCAAGGTACATTCCCTTGATTAGAATCAAACCTGGGACCCTTCAATCCATAGGCCGATGCTCTATGCAGTAAGCCAAACTGGTTAGGTCCAAAATATTTTTTTTAATGTTGGTTTTTAATTGATTTTAGGGAGAGGCAAGGAGAGAGAAACATAGATTTACTGTTCCATTTATTCATACATTCATTGGCTAATTTTTGCATGTGCCCTGATTGGGGATAGAACTCTCAACCTTGATGTATTGAGACAATGTTCTAACCAACTGAGCTATCTTGGTGTATTGGGACAATGTTCTAACCAGGGAGCAACAAAATGTTTAATAAGTCTACCATCTAATTCCTCTAAGTCCCTCTCATTATGGCAGTTGCTACCTCATATTTCTCATCTCTGTTCTTCATTCTGTTTCTCTCTCCTGCAACTCTTCTAGAATGACTCTCATTCTCCCCTTCCCAACTCAGTTCTTTATTATTGTATAGACTAATGTTGTTCTTGAGCACCTTAAGTTCTCTTATTTACTCTGATCCACATAACCAAGTCCTTGGAGGGACTTTGGAAACTAGAGAAAGGTCTTTGGAAGGATGAAGAATAGGAGTGAGTGGGGGAAGGAAGAGGAAGATAAAGGCTCTGTATACTTAGATATTTTGGTTATAAGACCAGTCCTCCCATTTGTAAATGAATACAATGAGGCCCAAATAAGTTCAGCGACTTTATGTTCACCTGTGGAGTCACATGGAGTTGGGCCTAAAACTCAGTCTTACTTTGTCCTACAGAGTTCCCTAGTTGGCAATTAATCCTATCATCTGCTCTATAAGAGGCCCCTTCCCATCCCTTGTGGAAAGAACACCAGCAGGAGTTAAGAAGCCGGGGTTCTTGCTCTGCTTCCACCAGGCTCCATGTCCTTGGGCAGTCATGTTCTTTCTAAGGTTCAGCGTCCAACTTAAAGGGGAGGCAAGCTGACGTCCCTGTCCAGCACTAACATTCTGTGCTTCTGGTTTGTCTTGAGTCCTGTGGCTGTAGCAGTGGTGGCCTTCAGTTCGTCAAGAAGACTTGCTCCTATTTGTCCTTCACCCAATTGGGGCAGAGGGTGAACCCGGGGAAGCAGGGATCCTTTCCAAGCACTTGGTTTGCCTCTGTAGTACAAACAAACAGGGTGACCATCTCCTGGTAGGCGGGGGGGGGGGGGGGGGGGGGGGGGGGGGGCTCCACACTTGCACTCCTCAGGGGCTGCAAAGCCCCTCGATGCTCCCGAAGATCCCACGTCGGAGGCCCCTCCTCCTCCCCATCCATTGGAAAACCAGCTTTCCAGACCCAGGCCCCAGGTCCTCAGCGAGCCCACTGCGCAGGCGCAGCCGCCAGTCCCGCGCGAGGCGGGCGGAATCCCCGAGCCGAGGCAAGGTGAGAAGCACGGGTCGCCGAGGCCCCGCCCCCGTGTCGTCACGCGGGGGGCGGAGTCGGAAACGTGACGGCGTGCGCGGGGGCGGGGCGCTCGCTGCGCGGGCGCGGGGGCGGGGCGCGGCGCGGCGCTCCCGGCTGCTGCCTGGGAGGGAGGCTGGGCAGGCGGCGGCGCGGCGCGGCTCTCAACCTGACCGACGGGGGAAGTGGCCCCGGCGGCCGCGGCGGACTCTCCCGAGGCGGACGGGCGGACGGGCAGACGGACGGGCGCGCGGACGAGGGCGGGGGGCTGGGAGCCGGGCCTGGCGCCTGAAGGAGCGAGCGGGCCAGGCTTCAGGCTCGGCGTCGGCCACTCTCTCGGTCCGTCCGCTGAATGAAGTGCCCGCCCCGCTGAGCCCGGAGCCCGGCGCTTTCCCTCCCGCAAGATGGACGGTTTCGCCGGCAGCCTCGGTGAGTGCGGCGGGGAAGGCCTCCTCCCTGAAGTGCTGCTGCTCAGGGTGGGAACTCGGTGGCCTCCTCCACGCACAGCCCAGGCCCTGCTCTCTCCCCACCCTGCCCCTCGGGATGGCGGGGCTTCTCCCACTGCACATGCTGCCCTCGAGGCTGCCGCCCCTCCACCGGCGGCGGCGGCGGATCCAGATCCCAGATCCCCTCTCCCCTTTGCCCAGCCCCCCTCTGGGGGACCCCGCTTTCCTCCCAGCCCTCCCCCCCCCTTCAGTGCCCTAAAGTGGGAACCCCTTCCCTCCGAGAGGCCCCGAGAGCTGGTACGCCCTTCCCCATACACTCAAGCCTCTTCCCCCTCCATCCCCTCCCAACAGACCCTTTTTCAAGGTGTAACATTCCTCCCGTTTCCCACACACTGAACTCTCACAGAGTCGGGACACCCCTTAACCCACGCAGAGCCACCCTTTTAGTGTAGGGACCCCCACTCCCCCCACCACCCCGTTCCTTCTCAGGAAGGGGGCACCCCCCTCCGTCCCCAAAGCTCCCCAGTCTTCACTTTGAATCGGGAGACTTCTTGCATTTCTCAGTAGCTGACAGTTTCCCTTCACTTTCCCTGAGCATTTTGCAGCGGTGGAGGGAACCAGAAACACCAAAAGCATCCCTGTTCAATACAGAAAAGGAAGAGGAGGTGCATCGGGTGTTGGGGGACCCTCTTTAAGAGGCATGGAAGCAGTACTTTATTATTATTATTATTATTATTATTATTATTTTTAATTTTTGGCTTTGCAAGCATGCTGGGGAGCAGCAATCCTGCCCGATGAATGCATAAGGGAAAGGGGCCTTTGTCAGGGAAAGAAAGGATTCTCCATGTTTGGAGCATGTTGCCTTTGTGGAATGGAGAAAGGGAAGAGGTTCGGAAGTAGGCTCAAGTATCCTTTGTGTCCCCTTTCACCCAAATAAAGGTGGTCAGTTCTGTAACTGGCTCCGGGGATCAGAACTTTGAGGCTGGCGGTGGTACGCGGGGCGCTCTAACCTGTGTGTCTGGAATGACTGTTCTCCCAGGCCGCCGGAATCTGGTTACTGTTAAAAGACTGAGATCAATTGTTATGATGGCGAGAGAAACAGTTTCTGCTCTGGCTGCTACTTGCAGTTATGCGATACCTGCTGCTGGATTTGTATTTGGAGTATTATATTTAGAGGTAGCTTGTATTCAAACACCTTGTTTTGCATTTCTTGATTACCAGTTCCCTAGCTGGTTCATGTGCATGGGTCAGTGCATGGATCTGGCCATGTTGGGATTAGATGGGTTTTTAAATCTAAAGTGTAAAAAAAAAAAAAAAAAAAAAAAAAAAGTACGTCCGAGGGCAGTGGGCCTATTGTAAGGATTAAATGACAAAACCCATAATTGTGGCCCTTTGGGAAGAACACAACATTTGAGTGCTTCGAGAGTGAAATCCCAAAATAGGCAGCTGAGTGTTCCTATTTCCCCCCCAAAGGCACCTGTTGTCCATTATCTACTCTTTGATTCCTTACATAGTGAGGTTATTTCATTCTTAGGCTCCTTTTAAAAAGGCTTCAACTATTCACTGCTTTCTACACCCCCCCCCCCCTTTCTCCCCCCCTGCCTGAATTTATTTGCCAATTCTATTGGACCTAAAGACTTATATGGTGGCAAACGGGGGATCATATAGTGGGGCGAAAATTGAGTGCCTTGACGGATGTTGGCTCCTCAGTCTGTAGGAATGGTGGAATCACTACTCACAGTAGCATTAGCTGCTCTGCTTCTCTCCTGTTGGTAAGGACTTGGCAAAGCTTCCTCTTCTGTGTTTTGAGGGAGTCTTTCTCCTCAGTTGGGGCACTAGGTTTTGTTTTGAAATGGTGGATGGATATGCCTTGTTCAATAACTTGATCCCTCTTGCCAATTCATGAGGTAACTTAGATGAAGGTGAATTTTTAGCTGTGGCTCCCACGTTTCATATAAAGCATCACCGTGGACCCTTGTATCGGATTTTTTTTTTTCTTATTCATTTGATGCCATCCTTTCCGTGGTACCTTGATGAAACTTTCCCTTTCTTTAAATATGGTGTTGATCAGCAACAGTGGGTGATGCTGGTCTCTAAAGAGAGGAACCTGTGTCCGAAGAGAGGGAAAGAAATGGTTCCTGGCAGTGTTTCTGGAGCTGATCTTGATGAAGATACTTCTCAGCAGGAGCACTGTGCTTTCTCTTTCTGTGCCCCTTGTAAGAGGAAAAACTAGGCCCCATCTTAATTGAAACCTTAAAGGGCTGGGGTGGGGGAGGGATAGGATAGTGCTGGTACATTTTACGGGTAGCCTTAAAGCAGAGCTTTGCTTGCTCTTGCCAGATTGCCTCTTTCTGTTGCCTGCAGTTCATTAGTCTAGAGCTTAGAGTTACATTGATCTTTATTTTATCATCAGGAGAGCTATGAATGTAAAGGCAAGCACTTGTATTCTAGTAGATGTTTAAAAACTTTTATTTAACCAAACAAGAATTCAAAACATGTAGAGTTCTTCTGGGGTCACAAGTATTGAAAGCGTTTATTTATCTTCAAAGTGTATGTGCAAATCTCTTTTTATATGCTAGATGGGTTCTTAAAAAGATAGTTTTATAGTGATAAGACTATATTTTTATAAGCAGAAAAGTTGAGTGCTTTATAAACAGAATGATTCTAGAGAAACTGATTATTTAAGGGAATCTTATGGTAAATCACTTTGCAAGTGAAAACCTTTTAAAATCTAAACTGTACCCTTGTTGAGTGTTTAGATAAGGAAAACATTCTATTATGTGCATTTTAAAAGATGTCTAATGGCAATTAAAAGTGTGTGTAGTGGTTTTTGAAATAATGGAGAGGAATGTTAAGTGATTGGCCATGTTATGTGTGCTACATCAGAATAATATACCAGTTGTATAACTTGTTTTACGTAAAAACAACTAAAGGATGCTTTAAATTTCTGCAGCTGATGAGTTTCAAGCAACTTGGCTGGCAGGTGCTTGTACTTTGGAATTTCCCTTAGGCTAGTAGCCTTTAGGTTATGAATTATAATGAAAAATGGCAGCACTTTGGAAATGATTTTTTTAAAACTTAGTGTGCGTGGAGGCGGGGGGGGGGGGGTGTCCCTAAACAATCTTATCTTGATGTCCAGCCTCCAAATCACTGTATATGTATACATACACGTACAAAATGTATATGCAGTATATATTTTAAATTGTAGGTATGTGCGAAAGTGAGAAGCTATTGACATGGCTTTTTTATTGATTTTTCATAAGGCAGGGTATAGGTGCATTTCATGCTTAGTCTTTTTAATGTCTTTTAAAAATGTCAGAGTTGTACCTTGGAATTTACTAGTTTATACTAAAGTAAGTTAAAGACAACATACTATGTTATGTCAGTTTTTTACTGTTAATGCTCCAAAGATTTTTTTTTTTTAAACCCCAATTAAAACTCAAATGTATTCTCTGAAGAAAAACTGTCATGAATGAAATCGTAGGGTTAGTATAAGAAACGTAACATTCTGGGTGGCAGGATATATGAACAGATAGTAGCAGTATGCTTCAATTTATGAAATATTTTAAGAAAATATTTTTAACATTACAGTATTAGGACTATGATTCTTATCTCATATGCTCTTGCTTTCTTAAAGGAACAATGCAGTCTATGATTTCTACAAACCTAGCCTACAGCATTCTTTATATATTTAGTCACATACAATGTTTCTCATGTGATAACATTATTTGGGGAATTTTCTCAACTTTTAATTCTTATTGGTTGTTTCTTAAAATGCTGAAGATAGGCTTAAGTTGTATTACATGACATGAGTAGTAACTCTTATATGGTCACTGCAGCATCTGTTAATATGAGTTAGCTAGAGTACATGTAGGTGGATTAACACCTATTTTATGAGCAGTACTATGTTTGTTCTTATAGGAAGGACAAATCAGCCTTTTAGGAGCTTACTATCTAGTTTTAAACAGATATGTTTAAGCATAGGGAAAGTACTTGAAATGGGAGTAGAAAAAGCACCATTTAGACTGCTATGCAATGTATCAAGTTTGTAACTTCTGAAAGAACTTTTGGAGATTGCTAAATTTATCTCTGTAGATCATAGCTTTTTAAAACAATGGAGTAATTTATGTAGCAGTTCGAATATTAGGGAATAATATTATTAGGTCTTTTTCTGTCTATATTTAAATTTGAATAACGTAAGGGGGAAAGTACTATATTAATTTTATATATGAGTCCATTTCTGTAACATGTAAAACTTCAATGTTCATAAGAAATTTGAGAACATATGATTTTAAATTAGATGGATTTTAAGGCATTAAAAAATAAGAAAATAATCTATTTCAACTATTGCTTCAGTGTGGAATTCTATAGTGTATTTCTGAATCTAATGTATGATATTTTGTCCTATAGTTTAGCCGTCTCAGACTATTGTAATGCCTTAATTTTGCTTATTGATGTATAATTAACAAAAAACTTTATCCCATTTAATCTGCACAGTAACCTGGGGAAAATAGAAATTCCCCTTATGTAGATAAGGAAACAGGTCCAAAGTATTGGGAGATTTAAAAAAAGATATTTGGATTCAGCTTTTACTATTTTCACTTTTTTTTGATGGGGAGAGGAATGAGGGAGACTAACTTGTCAGGTTTGTATATGTATTATTTTAAATAATGAAAACAGTTCAGAAGAAAAAATGTTGTCTTTATTTCTAACTCATCTGCAAGCAACTGACATTAACATGTTGATATTCTTGTTTTTAGTCTTTTTATTTTATACCTAGCTTTTTAAATGGTTAAAATCAGAGCTATAAGTGTGCACTCTGTTGTGTTTGTTTTTTTCCATTGAATCCTAACCATTATTATTTAAAATATATTTTATTGATTTTTTACAGGAAGGAAGGGAGAGAGAGAGCTAGAAACATCGAGGAGAGAGAAACATCAACCAGCTGCCTCTTGCACACCCCCTTCTGGGGATGTGCCCACA